GTGTCCAGCTGGACGATACGGAGTCGACTGTGGTCGGGCGGCGCTGTGCGGAGATGGAGCTCAGACTGATCCTATCACTGGCCGCTGTGCGTGTGAAGCCGGACGTAGAGGAAGCGACTGTGGAAAGGGTGAGGAGACAGTACTTTTTTGATACATTTTGAATTGATTGATATATTTATTTGATATTTTGGTGGTGTTTTTACAGTAATGATGACAAAATTACACTTTGTAGGAGACAAATGTTTTACTGAAAGCTGGCTCAATGCTTCTCTTTCCACATATGAGTGATTTATTTTTAGTGATTTGAATCGAAAGTGAAATGACATGTATTATAAAATATAGTTATATGACAATCAAAAACAGTTGTCATGAGGAAGGAAGGAGGAACAGTCCAGTTTTCACTCTGAATTTCGTTATACTTCTAAAGTATGTGTATTACAGAGATCATGCCAGTAAAACAATAATAATGACATCTTTTTCTAGCTCTGCCTTTGTTTAACCCCCTCTTTATGTGTGTTGGTGACACTCCAGTCACCATCAATCATGATTATTACAGTTTTTGCTTCAGAAAAGTGACCCGAGCCTCTAAACACCAGGATCGAATGTAAAATAACTACAGGACAGACATCTCTCTGTTTTATCTGTAAAATAACTACAGGACAGACATCTCTCTGTTTTATCTGTAAAATAACTACAGGACAGACATCTCTCTGTTTTATCTGTATAATAACTACAGGACAGACATCTCTGTTTTATCTGTGACCACTTGACCTTTAAGAATAACTACAGATCTCTGTGATCATTTTCAAGTTCAGACTTCTCTGTGCAGGTTTTCATTAGTGTCATGCAGACTCTCTCCTTACGATGAGGGATCGGGTAGTTCAGCCAATTTCAAAGTCAGCATGGTTGTTTTTTCTTGTACAAAAATGAAGGGCAGCAAAGAGCTCCTTCTGAAGGCACAAAAAACATGCTGCGAAGGATGTCGATTTTAAATCAGCAGAAGGAGAAAACTAAACTTTTTGTGACCCTGTGTTTGTATAATTGTAAGAAGCAGAATGTTTCTTCTTTATAAATCATGTTTGTGTGTTTGGTAATCAGGCTGCCCTCCAGGCTGGTTTGGGGCTGACTGTGTGCAGCGTTGTCACTGCAGTAATGGAGGTGTGTGTGACTCTACAACTGGAAACTGTTCCTGTGGTCTGGGCTGGACTGGTGCACACTGTGAAAAAGGTGATGAGACACACTCTTGTTGTTTCCTAATGCAGACACATATTTGCTTCTGCTCTATGACTATCTTAATCAGGCTGAGAGAATCATACATGGAGTTGGTCATGTTTTTTTTATTTTTTTGGTCGTCCAGAATGCCTGCAGGCAGATTTGGTGCAAACTGCCAGCTGACGTGTACCTGTCAAAATAACGGCACGTGTGACAGAGTGACAGGGACGTGTCAGTGTGGGCCGGGATATTATGGACATCTGTGTGAACACGGTGAGAACTGAACACATAAACACAAAGAACCAGAATGAAAATGAGCGACTTATTTTGAGTCAATCCCACATTCACTTTCCTGCTGCCAGCAAATATTATCATAAAGATACAGAAAAGTTTTTATAAGCTTCCTTTATCTGGGTAAGAACAGCAACACAACAACGGATGTGTTTCAGCACTAGGTCAACATTTAGTGTACTGTCTTTTTTTTAGATTTGTTGCGGTCATGCAGCTGAAACTGTGTTTACTGTCGAGTGTGCTCCTTTTTTGCTGTTTTTTTTTAGCAATAATTATGACATCACCAGATCACTGATTAAAAATCAGCTTGAGTAAGGTTTCTTAAAGCTACAGTTCCCAGGTGTTTTGAAATTAGATAAAAACAAAAGGCAGGAGTAATCGATCACAGAAGTGGAAGAGAAAACTACAAATATTTGTAGTCAGAACATGATTTGAACTTCTTCATTTGTAGACGCTAGCAAAATATCGAATATGATTTAAATCCTTGGTATGTAAAATGTATTGTGATGCACCAAGAGTAAAAAAGCCAGGAACAGAAATGATATCAGTGTGACTGTGGTAGGTTTGAGTTTCTTATAAACATAACAGGTTTTATTTTTTTATTGGTCTATCTTTTCATAATTTAAAGTCAACTCTGAAATGAAAAGAAGGCAAGGCTGTCAAAGTATGAAGAACAAGTAAAAAGTGAATGTATGACCTTCCTAACACTGTGTAATACTGATCACTGTGTGGCATTACAATTACATTAGTACTCAGTATTTATCACCCAGAACACTGCAGCATCCTGAATAACTTTTTAGCTAAATAGAGTTTGGCTATGTGAACACTTGTTTATAAAACCAGTGAGAACATGCTTAAGTATGACAATCAGCTTTGAATGTCATAGTTTGTCTCTCTCATCCTCAGCCTGTCCTCCTGGTCTCCACGGCCCACTGTGTCAGCAGCAGTGTGACTGTATGAACGGAGCATCCTGTCACCCTGTGACGGGACACTGCATCTGTCCTCCAGGATGCCACGGGTCCCGCTGCCACAGAGGTTAGTCTGTTCTCTGAGGATTCACTCTAAATAAGAACATGATTTAGGATATTTTATTGCCTGTTTTTCCTCTTAGTGATAATATTCTCTCTCTCTCTCTCAGTGTGTGAACAGGGTACTTATGGTCTCGGCTGTTCAAAGGTGTGCGACTGTGAGGATGACACTCCGTGTGACCCTGTGACTGGAAAATGTTTCTGCTACTCAGGAAAGACTGGACCAAGATGTGACATAGGTAATACTCTGTTGATTTTCTACCTCTACCAACATGCACACAAGCAGGAGTGTGATCGTTTCTTAGAAGCTGAGAACATTTAAACTCTGCCCACTCTCTCCTGTGTTTCATTTATAAGAAATATGAAATATGTACAGGTTGCTTATTAAGATAAAGAAACCTAAACCAGGCACTGTTTGCCCAGGGGTTAAAGAAGATTTTAGCACTGAAATCATTTTCAGATGTTCTAGATTATATTTTCTCTCAAGGATGGGGAAATAATCTATGGATAAAGATCTATTTAAGATTTCTACATTGTACAGTTTATAATTAAAAAAATGACCCACACATTTAACTGAAAGTGAAAGAACTGAGATTTAGTACAACCCAACATCTAATTAATGAAGCGGGTTGTACTGGAGTAAAGTGTTGACAGAGTTTCGGTCAATCTAGTAACTACCAGTTATACCAATCTATTTCTTTAATCCATTATCTATTTTTTTTGTACCAGGCTGTAAACATGTTTATGTCCGCTGTTAACATCAACATTTTAATAGAGGGTGTGTATGGGACTTCTGGATCTTTAAGAGCCATCCTCAAGTGGACGCTCAAGGAACTGCAGTTCTGTACTGTACTGATTGGCTTCATGTTTCAACACCAGAGGTTGCAGCTTGCTCTATGCTAAGCTAATCAACTTTAGCTTCACATTTACAAAAAAAGAGTTCCCAAATGTCAAAAACACATCTGTTATAGTATATCTGTTTTAAGTTTGCTAAGCCGTTCATTTTTGTGATTTGTTCAGAATGCAGAGCGAATCATTACGGTCCAGACTGTTCAGAAACCTGCGAGTGTGAAAACGGGGCCCAGTGCGACCCACGCAACGGCCGCTGCACCTGCCTGCACAGCTGGATTGGACTTTACTGTCAAGAAGGTGCAGTAATGAACAAAACTGACATGACTGACACATGTGTCCCTGCTGACTTTATCTCTCTTCATCATTTCACACACACACACACACACACACACACAAGGCCAGCAGGTGACGAGCCCTGCTGAATCAGGAGTCAGAACAGAAGTGAGGTTTCAGCTGACTGAGAAAAAAAAAGAAACCATAACTAGTTAAAGTGCTGACACTGTTCACTTCTCGTCTGTGTTTGCAGAGGCCGCACTTTCTCTTTGTTCTGATCCAATATGAACGTTTGCTGAGCTTGACTCACAGCTCTTTCTGTGTGTGTGTGTGTGTGTGTGTGTGTGTGTGTGTTTCCTCAGGTGGACCTCCTCGCCTCTCTCACAGCAGCAGCAGAGGAGAAACACAACACGACAACTCATTATAGCACCTGGAAGACGAAAAACTGGAACAGATCAGCTTCTTTTATTGAAGTGACTCAAGTGAATGAGAGCAAGTTGTAGCAGGCAGCTGGACGACCTACATGGAGGGGAAAAAAAAAAAAAAAAAAGACTCTCTAATGAGAACTGCAGTTTCATGTTTGGACCTGAGCTGGATCTGACTTTTTTTTTGTTTCACTGGCCAAAATGTCACTTGAACTCTGAAAGCTGTTTTTTTTCCCCCGTCTGACCTCCTGGTACATCGTGATTAGTGGAACATCAGACCCACAGAGTGCAGTGTGATGAGACTGTGGTTGTGCTGCACTTTTCATGTTTTGTGTTTAATATTTTGTCCTCAAACACCTTAAACAGGTACTGTATATAAAATAATCATCTTTTAAGCTCAAATGAAACCTCTAACAGTGAGGTAATCATTGAAACTATAGTTCAAACTTACCCGTATAATGAAGTTGTTCTACATCCACACAGTATGAGGTGCTCCCTTCATTACAATGGTGCTATGGAGCTTAATCGTACAACACAACAAGATATGTATAATAATTATTTTATCGTGTAAAATCATAAGGCGCACAAACTGTTGTTTAAATGTCTAAAAAAGAAAGCTGGACTTTAACAGTTCAATGTATGGTCACAATGTATGGTTTGATTTGCACCTTGTCCCAGGTTAAGTGTCTAAATATTTTCATTTGAGTTGATTTTGTGTATAAGTTGCTTCATATTTATATGTCACAGTTTTTCACATTTAAATATAATTCATGTTTAAAATGAATTTTTTGTTTCCAAATGGATGAAAGACTTTGGAGCTCAACCAGATCTACAGTCCAAGTAAAAACCACAAATGTAGTTTTCACACGTGAATCCAATTAAAGAGACACACACAGACACACACACAAACACACAAAGCTTGTTTACCATTCTTATTTTATCATTATTTCATTTTCATTGAAGATCAAAGCTGTACATCCTGTCTAAATTCATATTCAAGCACAGTGCAGATAGCAACGCCTGCGAGAAAAAAAAAGAAACTAAAGAAAAGAAAAGAGAAAAAAAAAAAGGCAGAGGTGATCACAACCAGAAATCTATATACATAAGGTCAAACTATGTACAGGAGACACCAGGCTCTCATGACGTCATCTTCAGAGTGAATTCAGCCCTCTGTTTCATTCGCTTCATAGCATTCCTCATCATCTTCATTATCCATACAACACAAAGAATTGCTTCTTTTAGTCAGTCTCAAAATCAACACAATACCGATAGGAAAAATGCAGCATGATGAAAAAAAAAACAGTTCTTTGAATTCTCTCTACTGCATTCAAGGCTAAAACCTAAAAATATATTCTGTTTAACCTAAACCCCTCTGTAAAATAAGCTCTATCTATCAGTGGCTCTGGTTTCATCTCTGAACTTGTCATTTTGAATGGCAGAACAGCGAATCTGATGAAACTTTGAACACTTAAAGCATGATTTTATCCTACACAGGAAAGGACACCAGGTGACCACACGTCAGCCTTGAAACACGACCAGATATTTCTACAACATGCAGAATCCTTGAAACACCACAAGATGTTTGTGGGGCAGGTCAGCACAGTGTGAAATCACTCTGATGGTCAAACTAAATGCACAGCGATACCGTTTAATAAGGACATGTTTGACATTTCTGGAAAGAGATCTGTTGCTTTCTTGCTGTGAAAGAAGATAATACCACTCTCATTTCTGTAACCTACGAGCTAACTTAGCTTAGCATAGAGACTGGAGAAGTGGAAACGGCTAACCTGGCTCTGTTCAAAGGTAACACCTGTAACAGCTCCTCTGAAGCTTAGAAATGGAGACTTAGTACATAATTTAGTTTTATCATGCAAGAAATAAAGTGGAGAAACAACAATAGGCTGTTACAAGTTCTCCCTTGAAAAGCTTCCCCACCCCGGTCCTAAGAGCTCTGCTGCCTTCTGTTGTTTCGGTAATGTTAAATTAAGCAGGACCATTTTCTATGGGACACTAACAAATTGCATCTTGGGATTCAGAACATGTGTTTGTTGAAACAAAGTTGAAACATCTTTAGAATCTTCTAGTTCTTCTCTGAAAATGCAATTTAAACTTTGCACATAGAAGAAGAAACAGTGACAGCTTTTCATACAGCAACGTGTCACCTACTCTGGTACTGAGGCCATAAAAATCTGATTTTTCTCCTTTATACAGCTTCCACTAGACTAAGTGTTGCGATTATCTTTGGCTAGTTGTTACAGTAAAAAGAAGTGAAGTAAGAAAAAAGACAAACTGCTTAGCTAACAGACGACTATCCCTTGGTTGGGTTTCTGCTGGTTCCCTACAAAGTAACAAATAATCTGGTACATGGAGACGTTAAATTGTTTTTACATTTTGGTTTAGGTTTAAATAAAACACTCAACATATCACTGGTTAACTAGCGGGCTTAGGGAGAAGAGCAGGATTTTGTCACCTCAGGACAGTCATGCTAGCATTTCCGCTAATCTTTCAGTCTTCATGCTAAGCTAAGTTAGCCAGCTCTAACATACAGATATGTCTGATAAGAATCTTTTTTTTTCTTCTTTTAACTCTAGACAAGCGAGAAAGTCTTCTTCCCATAATGTTTGAACTGGCCCTTTAAGTCTTACACTTCCTCCCGTCTCCCTGCAGATAAAAACATTGTGAAACAGGAACTCCACAAATGATTTGAATTTTCTTTGCTTATCTTTAATTTTCTTTTTTTTTGTCTTCTTTGAAAACATCAACTTGCACCAATATTATTCACTCAGTCACAGCAAAAACCAAAATGTATACAGGGAACAGTTTATACGACAGACTAAAGCAAGAGACACACACAGAGACGGACACACAAACAGGATCAACAGCAGGGACATTGAATCACTTAGCTGTTGTTTAAAATCTCCTCGACTGTAACGCTCGTTAACATACACCTTCAGAGTTACACTTGCTTTGATTATCTCCTTCAAATAAGAAGCTCTACATCTCATTCACGTCCTCACTCGCACTAATATGACAGTTTTATTCATCAGTATTTTTTTGCTATGATTAAAAACTTCATCAGCTGTTGGTTAAGATTTCTTATCTACACGTGTTAGTAAGCGGAGTAGTATCACCTTGTTTGTCCCGTACGTTTTGTACGATGCGCTGGGTGAAGAAGAGGGTCCATGCTTTGAGGATGTATCACATGCTATCCACTTGTGCTTTAATCACAGTAAGAGAGCACCCAAAGGTGAGAGAATGATATAGGGTGGTTTAATTTTTTTTTTTTTGCGTTAGTACTTCTGACATGTCTCAGGTTGTACGTCCCCTGAAAACGATCCTTACCGATCCTAAAGCAGGAAAGCTTTACTATGCATTCTGTATATGAAGGACGTATTTGTTTATTAGTATAAGAGCATCGTCAAGTAAAGATATATATGGAGTAAAGTCCATCCCATAGATAGATAACAAGCTGGACAGCACATGCGTTAAGATGAGTTTCTATAATCTTGCAGGAAGTGAGAGTGAAACACTCAGTGATGAAGAAGAAGAAGAAGAAGATCATCTTTGGCTCGAGCCACGCTAAAATGTCACTGGTCCTTCCCAGTGTCCACACATGAACGAAAGACAGACGAGTAAATACGACCTCCTGACCGTGTGCACGCCAACGCACAACTACAAACCACCTGCTCTGTTCCCTGAGCTGCTGCCGCCCACTGATTCAACTGGAAACACCGCCTCTTCATGACACAAATCAGTGCTCCCGTGCTTACAAGGGGACACACGACCAGGCGGGCTAGAAAAGAGGGGGCAGCCATCTACGCCAAAGCCCGCAGCACAGTCCGATGGAACTGTAAATAAGGCAAAATGCTTGAACACAAATATGACCAAGGAGGAGTTTCCATGAGATGTGGAGCCAGCAGTGATATGCCCACTTTCTGTTCAGTTAATCCTCAGCCTGGGAGAATAGTGAAAAAAATCTCTCTAATCTGCGTTTGATTTTCATGCCACTTCAATTAGGATGAATAAATTACTAATCTCTTCAGTGGCAGACAAGTTGCCCTGTCAAGTCGGCCTATGCTCCTGACTCATCATGACATACGTTCACGGGTTGAGATAGAAGACCCCCCCTCTCCTCCAGGAGTGTCAAAGTATCAGGCTAAAAAAAAACATGAGGAGAGGGAATCACCAGGAGGCGATATGAATCCATAGTGCAATGGCTGTGAGATATGACTGCTGTAATCCCCACCCTCTTCCCTCCTTGAAACTACTCTCCATCACCTGTTCTGACCGTACTAAAGTGCTGATTGTTAAAGCCCACAAAGAGGCTCGTACACCGATAATGTTAACAACACAAACAAAGAGTTTTTTTTTTTTTTCCAGAGAAACCTTGACAGACTAAGTACAGTACACACGTGTTTGTAAACACAACGCCCAGAGAACAAATGCATGGCTATGGTACATGTGCAACAGAGTATTCTCCTAGATTCGTACAGTATGAACTTTTTCTTCCTTTTGAGTTGCATTCAGTTCTAGAAAAAAAAAAGCAAAAAAAAAGCTGCCAAGCAAGCGTGTGCTTTTTTTAAAATTTTTTTAAAGATAGTTTTCTCTAAGTTTTTGAAAATATGTTCAGCTGAATTGGATGTATAACTGATTTAAGTATGAGCGCATATCCCTAACCTCTCATCCACTTCTTGTCTTTCATTGTCTATCCCTTCTTCCCTGTGGAGGTGACTGTATTTTTTCCTCCTTTTTCTTATCTTATCCCTGTGACTCTAAATGAGATGCCCTGGGTGGCCTTGGTGTGGCCAGACTCATGCGCCAGGGTCTCACTCAGTAAAAGCTCAAGCAAACAGAGGATCAGGCAAAGGTGGGGCGCTGCAGCTTGCAGCCCGGGTGCAGCCCTGCCGGGCGGGGCCGTTCTGCACGTTAGGAGCGGTAGTCCTTTTTACTGTACGGCTTGTTCCCCAGGATGCTGTCCACCTCGTGTGTGATGGACGACGACAGCTTTGGAAGAACCTGAGACAGAAGAGAAACAAGGAGTGAACATGTTCTACAGTGAAACATCATGCAGTCCGGATGGCATTGAAAGGTGAAAATGTATTGACTTCTTGTTTTACTTCATCAAGAACTAAAAAATGCTTTTATGAAAGAGCAACAACTTCAATGTAGCATAACGACCTTGATACATTTTTTATTCACTTTGGAGACTCTTAGTTTTAGTACCTTCTTTATGTTCATGTAAATTATTACATTAATATACCTTATAATGTGAAGGAAAAGTTAATCAGTTGCTTTTCTGAGGTAAGGGTAGCAATAAGCACCAATTCAAAATATTTCATCACCAGTTGAAATATGTGTGTTCCTTTTTTCATATGAAATGAATGATCAAAAAATATGAATTTCATGCAGTAAAATACTTATTATACTAGTACATTTTTATTATGAGTGATTTATTTTGATAATCCTCAATATTCATGTAAAGTTAAATACTATAGTTTACTTTAAAATAATCAAGACAGAGTTTAGATTCTTTGAAAAGACGATATTCAATAACAACTAATTTCTTATGTTTGTCTTATGAGAAAAAAAAATCAGTAATTGGATGTAAACAGTGTGTTCAGCTGTGGGACTGTGGGTCTACTACGTGATATTTCCCAGTCCAAGGAAAACTGCGAGGCCCTTGAGAAATGTGAGCTTAGCATTTTCAAACTGAAATATCAATAAAATGTGCTGAGGGCATGAAGCTACACAGCATAACGACATTTAGTATAATAATGTGTGTTCACATTCACACACACACACACACACAGAGGAGAATACAGAGAACATTAGAATAGAAAGGTGCAGCAGTGCTCTTTACAGCGGGACAGACATTATGTGAGCAGAGGACGTAAACCCCCACCGGTGGAAAACCCCATTAAAGGAATGCATCTTATCAGGAGAGGAGGAAGTGGCCGTAACTCGTCTCCAATCCCCACGGCAACTGATACTCGGCTGACCTTATTAACTTGGTACAGTGAAGCACCCGAGCGTGAGGCAGCAAAGTGCCCAAGAGGCCGAGCTGTACCCAGGAGAGGAGGAAACTTGGAGGCACGAAATCGCTGCCTGATGAAACCGGATGGGTGATATTTTCATAAATTACGCCACGGCAGTAAAACAAACACGAGTACACACACTCACGCAGACGCACACGTTGTGGCCTCACCTGTATTGCTCCTATGTTCTCCATCAGCTGGTCCGTGTTGGAAGCCCCTAAAAGCACAGAGCTCACCCCCTCGTTCCGTAGACACCACGCTGCAGGAGACCAGTAAACAGCAATGACACACCCACTTCCACTGTGGACATACACACAGTCTCACACATCACAACCCCTGACTCTCTCTTTCACACAAACACACACTGTTTTCACAACAATACTTGACAAACACACACACCCGTTAGTTTGATTCTAGAAACATGTCTAATGCCAACCCCTGAGAGCTCATGCATCCTTTTCTTTACACAGATGAAAAATGAAAACATTACAGATGACACAAATGCTGCACTCACATCACATGAACACTCTGTAGTTGTGAAACAAGAATACAGACCCTTACAGACTGCAATATTAATGTACTCCACTACAAGCATACCTCAACTACTTTATAAAAAAACTCACTGTGCAGCAAATCATCTACTAACACGAGCACAGTTTATCATTATTAATAATAATAATAATAATAATAATAATAAATTAGATTTATATAGCGCTTTTCTAAATATTTAAAGACGCTTTGACAGGAAACAACAAAAAACAAAGCAAAAATTAAGAGAACAATACAACATAGAAGTAGTGTCGAGAGCTCAGCTCAGGGAGTCATGCTGATACTGATATGTTATCGATGCTCTCTCTCTCTCCTCAATCTCACACATCTACACCTCAGAGTGGAAGTCATAGAATTAGTTTCATGTCAGCTCAATCAGGATTTTTTCTCTCTAGCTGTGTAGATAGAAGAAGCAGAATTTTGACAGGCTATTAAAAATGAACTGTATCTAATCAGTCTGAAATCTTCCATGCTTAATAACTAACTTATTTCAGATCAATGTGAAATCATTTGAGTTGATCAAACTCTAAATGTATCAGAGTGGGGGTTTGGAGTCTCTGTGAGAAAACTGACGAAACCATCATCTCATTTAGTGTTCTGTAAGAGTTCTGAGCTGTATTGTGCAACACAACCGCGCGTTTTGTTTTGTAAGCAGATTAGAGCATAAAGGGATTGAGACTTTGGCAGTAAACAACGTGGGATTGTTGTTCCTAACAAATCTCGCACAAATATGAGAACGTGGCCAAAAAAAAACAGCTGTATGTCTTAAAAGTGGATGGACCCAGGTGTGGAGCTTCCCTCGGGCTGCTGATACCTGCACGTCTAATGATGTATTCTCCCTCGCATGAACACCAAGCGCCAAGTGTGCAGCCAGAGGCAGGAAGGAGACTGTCATTGTTATATAGTTTTTATTCAATACTGAGTGCCACAATGATGTAGGGGACTACACAGTGGACATTAATCTCCTGCGCTGCCTTCAGGAGCGCTCGAAGGATTTATGGTAATTGGTAGTGTCCACTAATGGGCCGTGAAACTAAATCTATGACACTGCATTACTGCGAGAGTGAAAAATCTGCGCTGAGAGGAGAGAGGAAGTCCCGGATTTACTCGCTGCATCCGTGACGTCTGACGCTTTAACAGCCCTCGCCGGAGTCAACGTCTCTGGGTTTGCACTTTCTTACTCTGTGCATGGCCCGGAAGAGAATCGATAGCCGTCACTCGCTGGATTTATGAGCCGGATGTTATTTTTATGCTGACACCGGAAACTGTTAAATACATGTTAACAGCTGAGGAAACAGCACACCTGTATATACATATGGTAACTATAAACAAGACAGATGGGTCTATGTTCATTACATTTTTCACCTTTAGTACTTTTATTTTCCTACACTTCCTTTCCTAATGTATTTTATTCTAACCCTTTCTTTATCCATGTTGTGTTTCATTTTTTATAACTACAGATGTTACAGGACAGACACACATGTGACAGCACAACACACAGACGGTCAAACCAGAGCGCTGCAGACCTCGGCCCGTCCGAGGCAGAGGGACGGACAGACAGACAGAAAGAGAGAGAGCAGCAGAGTGTATCTGCGTACCGATGGCGAGTTGGGGCAGAGTGCAGCCCAGCCGCTCCGCGATTGCCTGCAGCTCTTTCAACTTCGCCTGCTGACGCCGGCCCTCCTCACTCAAGATCTTGTCCTTCAACCACTGGTAACCCTGTTTGAAAACACAGCACACCTGCTCAAAAACACAGCCCTGCTCACACGGCCGCGCCGCAGCTCCTGTGTCACCAGGGCCTGTTTTTAAACAAGTGACTCTGTCTCCGGCTGCCTACACTACAGCCAGGGAAACATGGACACAGCTACACCAGCCAAAAGATTGATTAAGATTACTATTAAATAATGAGAAATCTTAGAAGAAGAAAGACAATATATTTTCAAACTGACTGTTCAAGTTATATCGGAGTAAAAAAAAAAAATCTTCGTATTATATCACAGATCAGGAATTATCTATAATGCTTTAAGTTACAAGTTAGAAACCAGGAAGTAAACACCACAAACATCCACAGACAACACTGAACCAAACAGGGAGCAGCACATTCCACACACTTTATCAGAGTACTGCACAACACCACAATGGAGAGCTAGTTTTATAATGATGATGATGATGAGTAGTCAGATCTACGCTCACTGACACACAATCCACAGATGCACAGCATGCTACTTCACCACAAGAACACAACACTGCATCAGGTCAGGTGATCCCTTCTAAATATGACTATTATGTGTAAGCTCTAGATGTCAAATTCTTATTTTTGGGGCACATCATTTGATATAATGTGAAAAGTTCCATGTTTCTGAGATTCTCAATGAGTATTCAAATATAAATGTTGTGTCTCCTCTCTTCACTTACATTAAAAACTTGGTTTCACATTTCTGAAAGGAAAACCAACGTTTCTAATAGTCAAGGGAGATGCCTGCAATAATATTGAACGTCTCTTTTATTAATAAATATGTACACATAGTGCACTGCTATTGCTCTGTGTGTGTTTAGTTACATCACATGTATGCTGTGTGCTCATGTGTGTCCATTAAAATGCATAAAGCTGACACCAGCTGTCCAACAGTGTTGTACAGCACTGCTCATGCCCCAGCATGGCAATGAAAACAGATGTACATGGTGTGCACAGAGTTACAGAACCTGAAAGACAAACACACACACGGTAAACAAACAAACACAAACAAACCAGAAACCAGTAGGGAGTCACAGAACAGTGACACAGATCACAAAGGATCATTGCAGGATTAAACCAGGAAAACCGAGCGGGGTGCGTCTACCTTCAGAGAAGCCCGAGAGTAGGGAGGCACCCTGCCGTCGTATTTCCCTGAGATGATCCCACAGGCCAAGGGTGACCACGTCATGGCCCCCACACCTGAGAGAACAAACACATGTGATCATCGAGGAAAAACACATTGCCCTACTTTATGAAATCAGAGTTCTTCATTTGTCTTGGAAGAGAAACAGTCTCAGGAACATCACATCCTTGGTGCATCCCTTTAAATCAGTTTGATGTCTTTTTAAAGTGCTATGTTTGCTAATCTGATGGATGTGTTAGAAAGGACTTCTTATCCCATTGTTTATCCGTCAAGAATAGTAGACTAGCTTATTGTATTTTGGTACAATATGCTTAAGAACAACAGTATAAGTTATTGCAATCCCATGCTTTGAAAAGAAGAGGTTCACAAACATATCATAAAACATCTTATTGTGTCTTTTATTGACTTATGCTCTTTTCATTTAAGGCGTGCTTGTAAACCTAGCTTGTCTCGCGGCCAAACAACTGAATGCTTCCTTCAACCGCCAGTTTTTGTGAAATAATTAAAAGAAAAAAAGAAGAAGAAAAAAACAGAAACAACATCCAACATAATGCGATCACCTCACATCTGTAGCACTTAAGTGCCAACATTAAGACCTCGATATTCTCAATTCAAAGCCTCAAATTCATCTCTGCTCACCTATCTTATGAAAGAGCTCTGGTAGCTGCACCTCCACCTTCTCTCTCTGGAACATGTGGTACTCAGCCTGCTCACAGATGGGAGGGATCTGGTTGAACTGTCGTGCCACTGAGTACGCTTCCTAAAGAAAACAGGATTGTACAGTTCAGTACAACATACACATCTACAATGTACATCATAGATAGGGAACATATAGAGAACATTCAAATCCGTGTGATGGAGGAATGGACTCCTCAGGCAATGTTGGAAATGTACATTTGCCCCATGTGTGTGTGTGTGTGTCAGTTTGAGTCTCACCATTATCTCCATTGGACTCCAGCGGGATGTTCCCCAGTACATAGCCATGCCCTGGTTTATCACATGGGTCATTGCTCGAACAGTTTCTGCAACAAAAAAAAAAAGAAACACAGAATTGTCTAATTACAAAAAGCATCACTGACTGAACCGCCTGTCGTTTTAAAAAACAGTTATTTTCCCATCGTTTTTTATTCTGCATTGCATCAAGAGCGAGATTCAGGACAGAACTGGAAAAGCAGATTATGTTCATCAGAACCACATACTGTATGTATTCATAATAAAGCACATTTGATTGACTTTATTATGAAAAATCTACAATAAATGGTCTTCACTTTTCTGCAATATGCTACAGGGCATCATAACAAGAGCACGGTGAAATAAATGTGAGTTGACAGGCATGTTTGCACCAGTTGAAATCTGTAAATCAGACACAAAGCTTCCTGACAAGGTAGAAACACTGAGTCTGAGTGAATGTGTTTGACAAAGAGAGGGTTGAAAAATATATTAAGTCCTATAACATGAAAAGTACATCAGGGATTAAGGTCTTAAGTGCTGACCAGGCTTGACTGAACGTAACACAGATTACATGTTTTTCTGTCAACACATCGCTATAGATTTTATTTGATGTCATCGGCTAGAACTTTCATTTCACACACATATCTGAGCCTGTGTGACAGCGAATCCAATCTCACATCACCCGACTTTCATTTCCGTCTTTTTGTCGGTCAAAGTGATAATATGTTTTATCTGACCGCCGACCGAAACATGAAGCCCATTTGCTAAAGATCCAGGTGTCGCTGATGAGATCAGGAGAGCCAAAAATGCAATAACACCGGGATGTGGTGACCCCTAATAATCCTTCATCTATCCATCTATTGCCTCGCTGATGTGCTGCTTCTGCGAATTCTCTCGGACAACCAAATCATCCCTGCGATCCTGCAGTGGGTGCTCGGTTTAAGAGGGTTTCTCTGTAAACTGACAGAACAGCAGCTCACCTCCTCTTCACCCTTTGTACCGCCCTGTAGCTACTACCAGAATCACATATCCCAGATGGTCTAACTGCTGTGGGCTTGGAGACACAGACTCAGAGCTGTCCATGTGAACTGTGTGCAATCTTTAAAGGGCAGATGGGCAAAAGGATCGACTTGACTTTAATATCCAAAAGATGAATAAAAACCACCAGCTACTTGTGACTAACAAGACACTGAGGTATTGCTAAAGAGCCGGCGCGAGGGCAGCATCAATACGGAGTCAGGAAGATTGACCTCTGACTGCTCTCTAACCCAAAGGGGGAACTCTGATACCGGAGCAGATGCACACAGTGTGACCAGCTGAGCCCACACACAGTTAGCACTCTGCCATTTAAAGGTCTTCTGCATCAGTGTCTCATTCCTCCTTATTCTGACTGTGGAGGCGGAAGCACCAGGACAACATGCAGCATTTAAAAATAGATGTTTCAGTAACAAGAGATTTTTAGATTTGAGTCTCTGTGTTGCAGTAGTCATAGAGACAGGAAAGAGATACATTTTTCAAGATGCGAGCTGACGAAACATATGGAAAAAACGTTTTACTTGTTAGAGCAGAAAAAAAAGTGGAGACTTTTAAAAGGCATTAAAGGATAAAGCTGAAGAATTACCTTCCATCGGTGTATTAGGGTCCGGTCTGTTTGCAAAAACCACGTCCACATAGTCTAACTGCAGTCTTTCTAAAGAGGCTTTTAAACCTGCAGACAAACACCAAAGTTCAAAAGTTAAACCGGAAATATTTCATTATAAAATGACCAACAAACCCGTTAACTGCAAAATAAGGTTATCAAAAATGTTGTCATTTTGATACAATGTGTTTCAAAATGAATCAATCTCTGTTTTTTTAATGATCGATAGTGTCAAAAAGTACCAAATCTTTTAAAAAATAAAAATAAAGATCTTTCATGTTTTTTTAAAGAGACAGGGCATCGTCTAACTTGCACAACCTTTCTATCCAAAGTTGTGCAATTAAGACAGTGTGCAGGAGTTTGCGGCTATTTTTGGTAACTATAAACAAGACATAACCCAATTTTAGTTGCCGTGGTATCGAAACACAAAACATAGAATTTTTAATAGTATCATATCTAAATTTTAAATGTTGGCATTGTGACAACCCTATTGCTAATAAATAAACACCAAAGTTTCCCTAACTTATTTGCACATGGTTTTCGGGCCCACACATTTTCATGCCAACTCCAACAAAAGTGTAAATTATTTAAAATTCAGTTTGATTCCCCAAAGCTTGAGGCGCTAATAAGGAAGAACTTTGTTCATGCAGAATAAGCATTTCATCCAATCACTTGCAGTGCTGCTTCTTACCTTCTATAATGTGTTTTCGAGATAAACCTCTCTCAGTCTCCGCCCTACAAAAAATACAAACAAAGGTAAAACCTTCTGTAATAAACAGACACTTCAACAATGATTGGAAACGCCCGCTTCCAAATGATATAATATATCCTTTTTGAAATATGATCTAATGAATGTTTCAGCTTTACCGAAAGTCCAACAAATCAGTTAGGATGACGCATGATCCCATTATCAGGAGCATCATACGAGTCAGGAAAAATTATACAGCAGGGTTATGTGTCACGTCAGCATGAATCAAAGAAACAACTGGAAGAAGCTTACTTTCCGCCCCAGAAGATCTTTGTTGTTATCACCAGACTCGATCGTCTGCAAATGAAATGAAAGCACATCTGTTAGAACACCTGTCAGGCAGAGAGTTATAGCAAAGAAGCGTAATTCATCTGAGCTGTACTCAAACCTGACATCATGTGTATTAAGCTAGGATGAAAAGCTCTGAGACATCATTTGGGTAATGAATCATTTCAACATTGTTTTTTTTTTTCAATGTCACACCTCCCACAACCAAAAGTGTGACTGCGCCAGGACTCGGCAAAGCCAGTGAATGTGTGTTGTTGTTGTTGTTGGCATTAAACCTGACACAGCTACACAAACGCCAGTTCAGGCCAGACAAAGTAGAAGCTGAGGGACTAGAAGTGGATCCATTATTCAGGATCTCTGAGGAGGGACGCAGGAGTGTGAGCACTGCACGGCGCCCCACATGAATCTTTCATCTGCCTACCTCACCATTCCAGTTCACAACACACAGACTCCCAATATTATGCAAGGAAGGAGATGATGCCAGATTAGAAGAGCGTCTGGGACGGAAATTAAAAAGCAAAGAAAGTCAATTGAAGTGTGCCTCGTACCTCCATCCTTTCTTCTTTATGACGTTTCCCAGCACCACCTCTGCTCTGTGAAGCAGACGAGAAGAGAAGGCAAGATGAAATAACGACAGGCTTAAAATTATAAGAGAGTCTATATCCAACTCAAGCTTTGGATTGAAGACAGCAGTCCACACATACTGTTTCATGCAGAAGAGAGCACTTGTTTAAGGAGTGGTGAGTGTGAATTGGCTGCAGGGTCAGAGTCAGCTGGGCCCGTGGCGTGGCCTAGCTGTGCTGCGGAGGCACCCCTATGTCAGTCATTAGCAGCCACAGGGGTGCTAATGAGTGACATTACGATCCACAAGGGGCTCATTAGGACCGGGCAGACACCTGTCGACAGAATGTCTTTCCGGTCCTCTCACCGTGACAAATAACGAGACACCTCCTTGTGAAACATAAAAGCTTTTTAGAGGTGAAAAAGTAACAACTAAGATTTGTCTTGGATTTATTTTAGCTGCACTATCAAATAAGATAACGGCTTTATAGAGCAGCTAGCTTAATCGGCTATTTTTTTTTTCCTTACCAAGTCTCTGTTGAAGACAGGAGCAGATATCTCCCCTGGGACATGTTGCATTAGAGCTCCTGTCCGTGGTAAGAGAGTCTGAGCTCTATCAGTCAGAGAGTCAATGTGACATTAGATGTGCTCCTGTATTTATTTGAACTGTACTGTAGCTTTAATTTGCGTTTACTGCAATTAAAGTAATAGTTGTGTAATTTTGGAAAATCAAATCATCTTTAAATCATTTCATTGATTTTTTTCATTTCTTATTCTTAAACATTTTTCTATCAATAAACTTGCCATGCCTGAAGAAGAAACTGCATTTTCTCCTATTTTCTGACATTACAATGTTAATTGATTGATTGCCCATGAAAGTATGTTGGTTGTAGCCGGAGTCTAAGTAGCAGTCACTGATAATTCCCTCCTTGTGCTTCTAGAATAATCCGTCAGCCTGTGTGAGACATTCATTAGACCAGACTTATCATCCATCTTCATTTCCACATATTACTGCAGATATTTTATTAAAACGTTTTCAAACCAGAATCACTGCCCGACATGAGTTTTCTTTTATAGAGTTCTGTATAGTTCAGACACATCAAACCATCTTCTGTCTCCATCTTCATTGTGTTTTATTTATAGCTGTCTTCTCCATGACAGGATGACTTATTAGAGGTAAATCTCATTTGCTACTCGGAGTGATTCTTCACACATTCTGCTGTATCATGCTGTCCACTGATAACACACTGGTGATCTCACTGTTGCTAGAAAGAAGAAGCAGAGCATTCATAATTATACACAATCTGAGTACCTGATTCGGACAGACGTGATGGACCCAAACAAAGAGCGAGCGCCCCCCCCCCCCATGAGAGCGATCATGTGTGTGTGTTTTTGTGTGTATTATATTCTGGCAAACGCCCTCATAGTCACTGTGTGTCACCTCTCCCTGAAATGTGAGTAATTTGAGAGCCCAAACATAAAGGTACAGTGTGCCTTGAGCAGGTTGACTTTCTTCATCCATCCATCATTTAGCTCTCTGTTGCAGTGCTGAGTCGCTGTTGTGACTCACGGCAGAAGCTGACAACAAAATGCTGAATTATTTATGGATTTATAATATTTGATTATTCCACAATTCTCTTTAATTATGCCTCCAATTTGTCACCGTTTTCAAACAATATCATGCAATTAATATGTAACTAGGAAAATATGTTTAAGCCTTATAGGAAATGAAAGTCTGTTTTTTATCCACTTCCTGGCGTACTATTCAATGCTGTGCCACCATATGTGTCCCCTGATAACAGCGACTACATTGGATGAGAGGAACATGTTTGTTTGTGCCATTACTCATACTCATTTACATATTTCTGGGAAACAGAGCCCAACATATTGGGATGGATATGGTTATTAAGAATCGCAGTAATTATTTAAATATTTTCTTTGTGTGTTTAATGTTTGCTATGTGACAGCTTCTCTGTTTTTTGGGCAGAACAAACACTCCAAAGAAACAGCCAATAAGTGCTGCTGCGAGCACAGCTTACACTCGCTGTTTATCCGTCCTCGCTTGCAACACAAGCTCGACATTACCGCTGTTTGACTGTGCAGCAACCAACACCACTCCAGGTTCTCTGAGTCTGACTGATGAAGGAATCTAAGTGAGCCAGAACACCAAGGACTAAACATGAAAGCTTTTTTTTTTTTTTTTTCCCTGATGTTGCGAGTGTGTGATTCGTTTTCCTCTCCCGTGCATGTGTGTAATATAAGCAGCTTGGAGCTGCTTTGTGGTGGAAGCTGTCGGGATTAACACCTGTGCAACATGTTCCGCGGCGTGTGACATTCTGTCTTAAACATTTGCACGTGCCTCACAGATCAGTTTGTTTCTGTCGAACCGTGCTTTGTTTTATGAGGAAGCGCTGTGATCAAAGTCAGAGCTGGTAATGCCTCAGTGTCAAAGATCGACTTTTTCTGGCTCCATACCTGAAACAACAAACAAACAGCTTCCCAGAACGAAGCAGCATGAAGTGACAACATTTATCAAGACAACAGCTGCAGAGGCATTGAGACATTCGGCATATTTTGTTGTGTTTTTGTCTTTGTTTGAATTTCTTAGTGAGATGCCGGCACTCTGACTCATCTCCAAAAACCAGAATATTCCTGGGAGGATCAAAAAAAAAATAAAGGGACTTGGTGAGATTCTGTTTGTAAAGGATAATCCCTTAGATTATTTCAACGCATCCAAGTTACTACAAAGCCAGATTAATCCATGATGGAATTTAAAGCATCACTGCACTGCTTTAAAAATATCATCAAAGGTTGTTCTATTAATTTAGACTGAGAATGTCTAAGCTCTCGTCAACACTCATGCAACAATGACAAAGTGTTAATGAAGACGACAACATGGATTTTGGACAAACATCAAAGACCGGGGCATTAACCTGTGGTGTTGTTTAACAGGTTACTGGGACGACATTCTGCCAGCAAATAAAAGCCCTTATTAAAACTGTTTATTGTGATGATTGTGGATAACTCATGAGTAATTTTTCACTACTCCTAGTTACTCAAGCACATTTTGTCGGCATATCAAACTGTTTGCATGTCTAAACCTCCAAATGTTATATCAAAAATGCTTCAGTATAGCAATCATAAGCATGTTACATTTAAATACATTCATGTAACGTCATGATTGACAGCTCTGTTAACAAAAGCAGATCCATCAGCGCTGTGTGAACTGGATTAGCGTAGAGTAGAGGAGGACGGCGAGATGAAGCAAAACAAAGACTACCACGAGAGAGACATCACACTTTTTATATCTGTAAGTGTCTACTACAGACCGATACTACAGACTGTACAGACCTGAGGGACCTTTGCTGTTTTATTTGTACGGTAAGTTAAATGTGTTGTTGGTCAGTGGAAGAGGCAGGAAGTAGATTCTTCAGCTCCACCAGCCAGATCCCTTATGAGCATGTCCTGGCTCCAAATTAAATAAATATCTCATTGCCGTCAAGGAGGTATTTTGGCTTCAATTTTTATCACAAGTGGAGGCGTGGAGACATGTTGTTCATATTTATATACAGTCAGTGGTCTTACTATGAATAGAGACAACAATCTACGAGTCAAGTTGCTAGTTACTAGTGTAATGTCTTAAACTTTTCCTGCTGCACCACTTCAGATCCAGCTTGCACCTGACACTTAAGAGTTAAACTGTAACTAGTATATAATATCTACCTGGTGCTTCTATAATGTAAAACGTTCGAACAGCTTGGTAATACTTGGTGTCATTTCTCGCTGTTACATGACCTGTGACAGAGGATATACTCACTTTCCAGCAGCGTAGACCTCCGCTGTGTCAAACAGATTGATGCCATTTTCATAGGCGAGAGTCATCAGCTGCTCTGCCATCTGTTGAGAGAGCAGGAGAGAGGGAGCACAGAGGGGGAGAAGATGGGGTGAGAGACCACAAATGTGAGGTGTAAGGTCTTTTTAATTACTAAACTTTCTTCGTATGTAAAGTGTGTTTAGTCTCTGGCTGTTGACTCCCTCTGGCTGTATATTTTCACTTTAGGCAAAAATAGACGTCTTGAGTAACTCGGGATGTGCCGGATCGAGTGGAGCGTTTCCATTCTCAAGCTTTTGACTGATGGATGATGACAAAATCCATCTGCTCTCACCTCGTCTGTTATCTGTCCACCGAATGTCACCCATGTTCCTACAGAGGGTGACAGAAAGGTGGGGTCAGGGTGGGAGTACATAGACATGTAGCATGTGCACATGATGAGAAAGCATCAAACGTGCCAAACGTGCAAAGCTGTGAAAACAAATTTCCCCCTGGGGGACAATAAAGTATTGTATGGTATTGTATGAACTGCAAAACTGCATGTATACTGTAGTGTAAAATAAACAAGATCTGGCTATGAAAAGTCACTGAGATTTGATTATAAATTTGAACTCTTTTATGAGGACTGGGGTTTTATGAATGTCCCTCTAAAGTCGATTATATAATGTCTTTGTGATGCAGCAAAGTTATTTGTGCGACTCATGATCCAAGAGGCTCTTACCTAATCCGAGGCAGGACACCCGCAGGCCCGACTTCCCGAGGTTTCTGTCAAAACAGAGAGGATCGCATTAACATTAATGGAGCACTGAGGTGGCAGTGATTTGTGTTATCTTTTTTGGCTGTGGTTTAGACCTTTTAAAGGAGGGCTTTAAGCCCAATTTTTATCTTTGAGTGATCGGCGCTAAGTAAATAAATAAAGAATGCTATTACTCTTCTGAAAACGTAAGAAAAGTCTGTCCTCAAGGGGAAAGTACAGTTGTAGAGGCTGAGAGAGCGAGGCTCTGCATGGATTAAAATCAGCCCTCAGTTACTCTGATAAATGGAGATTGAATGGCTGAGAAAAGACAGTTACACACGTGCTGCTGAAAATAAGAATGTGTGTTTGAGTTTGTGTGTAGGTAAATGCCAGGGAAAAGTCTGGGAGAGGAAGTGGGTTTTAAGCATGCCCACCATGACATCCACATAAATATTTTCTCAGGGCACAGCAGGATGCCTCAGCAGCCGTCTCACTAAAATCCCCCCTTACAGCAGCGAGGAGGCTCGACTACACACACGACTTGCTCCTAAAGCTGGCGTCTCTGAGCCTATCAGAGCCCAGACAGACCCCTCTGCTGACAATCACAGCTTTGACGGCTCTTTGATTTCTTTTGTGCCAAGCTTTTAAACTTTGCTAAGACCTCTAAGTTTCCAGGCTAAACAGCAACATCATAACATATTTATTATGAGTACAGAAATATCTGATGTTGTTGAATAAGTTTTCGTTATCAGAAGGAATTCAGAGTTTATTCAAAACTTAGCAGTGGAATTTATTTAGAATTTGCTCAATTCTAAATAATCTAAGAAATTATGAAATAAACAAACAAACAAACTGTGTGGTACCTCTGGTCAACCTCTTATAAAAGATAAGCCAGCAGTGTAAAGAGATAAAAAAAATGTGGCATCAGAGATGATGTAACATGTGCAGGAGTCAAAGTGAGCGTGTGGGAGGATATCTAATTTTCTTTTTACAAGACTGCCTGTATAGAAATACCGTTAGAGTGAAAAAAAAAGGGAGACAGAGGATAGGTGTTCTGTGTGCGTGTGCAGATGTGTGTGTAAGTTTTACAGGACTGTGCTTGTGGCTGCATGTGTGAGTTGGAGGTGTGTGTGTGTGTGTGTGTGTGTGTGTGTGTGTGTGTGTGTGTGTGGGTGTTTTGTGAAGCCATGATAAGACTGCTAAATTGATGCAGTGACTAACAAAACACTTCTTTCGGTGTGGTCTGAACAAAAGCACTGACTAAACTGTTCAAAATATACATGAAAATCTTGTCAGTTCCCCTCAAAGAAGGCTAAAAGGACTACGTTTGCAATGTAGTGAAAAAAATATATTTAAATGCTTTAAGTTTCTGTTAGATGTATTTCCATATACAGTGCTTTCTTCATTGGGAGAGTTAATCCATTTAATTATTCACTACATCTTTAAACATCATTAGTTCCTCTCACAGTGTCCAATGTTTTCTCACTCAAAATCAGCATTTCATAGCTAAATCGATATTTTTTTCCAATCCACCAGAGATTGTGCAATGTTGAAAAATAACTAAATCACATCCATTTCATGCATTTTGCAAGGTAAGCATTTTTCTCTGAGTTTCTTTCTACAAAGGGGCCTCATTAAAAAGATCTAATTTGTCAGTGATGTCTCTAATGGTCTTTCAGAGCCTGCTGACTTCACATACAGGAGCCTGCTGTGACTGACCAAACCCCGGTCAGTCACAGGGGAGAAGAGAGAGCAGTAAGAGAATCTGGAGGAAACAACGTGGCCCTTACGGTGCGCTGCGGTGACAAGGTTTACACAAGTCCCCTCTGGCAAACCACTGGAGCTGATCTACAATTAACTGGTTCCTAATTGCATGAGTAAAACAGACCCTCTGGGGAGCTGCTGCTTGGAGTCACGGATAGAGATAACAGAAACTTAAAGCAGGTTACTGACTTAAGTCTTTGGTGGGATTTTTTCATAATGGACTAAAAACATTTGTCTAATAAGGGCCAAAATATCTCCATCAGTAAAAAACTCTACTTGACTGCCTCCTGCTTTGGTGGATTAAAAACTGTCTTCTGGTTAAGTGCTTACTGTGTGTGCATTCAGCATTAAGTCTTTTTGCAGTGCTCTTCTATTTCAGATTTTAAAGTAGAAACACAGTATGTGTTTGCAGCTACTGCAGAGGTCTCACAAACATATTTACAAAAGACATAATTTGTTGATGTTTTTACAGTATGTAGGAAGGTATCATGGGAGATCTATTCTTCACATTTCTTCACTTGATGTGATTTCTGGTGAAATAGCCACAAGTATTGTTAGCTAAAACAAACAGCCCTCTCTCAAGTAACATCTGTTGTTTTGTGTGTTTTTCTGGAAACCAGTAGGTTCATTCAAATAAAGATATATCAGGTCTGGTCTTTCACACTTTAATGCTAAAATGTTACATGTTATAACTTTAAACGCGCCCTGATTTAATTTGATAAAATTAGTGAATATGATACATAGGCAGATTTAGAAAATGTGACTGAAACTTTTTTAGCAGGATAAGTTAGGAACAACACAAGCTTCTAGTGAAGCAGTATTGTCATCCACATGTGTTGGGGCTTAGCACAGAATGCAGCTTGCTGTGTAATAGTTGCATTAGCTTACTTTAATACAGCACATACAGTACCACTGTTTTTTTACAGCACGTCCCAAGATCTAAAAATAAGTCAAAAGGATATCAGAAGACAAAGTTCTGCCCTTGTCATTGTTCTTGTTGTGAAACATGTCCGTATGTCAGCTCATTGTTCTATGTTCAATAATTTACTAGACTGGCCTTCAATACTGCATTGTGTGTCGCTACAATGACCCTCTGTCAGGACCTGCAGGCAGGTCGGGGGTCAGGTTGCCTCTGAGCCTTAGCAGACATGAACCACAGAAGTAAAGTCATCGCTCTCACACCCTCCTTAATAATGAAGGAGACAGGTACAGTACATGACGGCAGCACCGCTGCAGAAACAAAGCCAGGTTAGAATCAGGGAACAGGTCACGTACTGATGATAGCACCATTGTTTGCTTTAAATCACAAGGTATCAGTTTTTTCTGATCTCATCGGCCTGAGGCTCAATTGGACAAGTCGAGACTTTTCCTTTGGTGTGCTGGTGAATTTGGAGCTTTGGAGTTCTATTTGAGATTTCAATTACACTTCAGCTTGTCACAATGAATGCTGCATGTATAAGCCAATCATTTGGCTCTGCTGCTGACCAAGGCAGACATTGATTGAGGTTGACCTCTGGAAAACAGATGTTTTTTTTCCCCACTGAGGTCTTCAGGGGATATCAGAGGTCACCTCAGAGTCTCTTTCCTTAGTATTATTTGATAACTTTCAATAGAAGAAAAATATGTGAAAGGAAAGAGAAAGATGTTTTACAATGGGACACAGCAGAGCCTGATGAATATTTAACAGTGACCTCTTAATATTCTTTTTGACTCAGCACTTTATCCAAATAGAAGCTGCTAAGATCCTCAGTCAAGGATCACTGTTGTATATCAAATGCTGATATTCATCTGCTGCTCAAGTATGCAGTATGGACCAAGCATTAGTTACTTATCCTTTATAACTTTTCAAGCCAAAGAGACAATTCAACAACAAACTCCTGTTCCCATTTGGCGATGAGTTTAGTTTACTGTTGCACCCTTTTCCTTTTAATCATAACTTAGACGGGGCATCCGTCAAATGTTTGTAGTCAAATCTGCTGTAACAACATGTCATTCAAACTGAGGTTGACAGTATAGATATTGATGTATGAGCGGATATACGTCAGTCATGTCTCTGGTAGGTGAGTGGGTGTAGCATCAGGAAGGACTAAAGGCACAGAGTCAGCAGACTGGACGTCAGAGGCCTTAAAGTCAATATGAAGTCAGTGGACAGGACAAACAGGACGGAGTGATAAATGAGGAAACAAGGTCACAGTGCTGTAAAGAGGAACGTGTTGAGAGATATTTTCACTGAGAGGAACTATAAATATACCAAACCCGTGGCTTCAACTTCACAAAAACATACATGCCAAATGCCACCGGCTCGTGGCAGCTGCAGGTGCGTTTCTCCTGCATTCACAAAGGGAGAGAGCCACATTGTAATTGCTGAGATATAGATTTGAATTGCGCTGACCTGGCGATATACAAGAAGTGGAAAGGTTGAACCACTTTGCTTTTGAAAGCTGCTTACACAAATGAACTGTAATTAAAGGCATGAACTGCTAATCTCTCATTATTTGCTTCTCTGTACAAGCGAAACTATCAACAATCACACAATAGGCTAGCCCGTTGTTATCCCAGCATCATTTGTATGAAACATTCATGCTTGTGTGTTTCATTGTGCACAATCCTGCAGCACCGTAAGGCTCTGGTCTCTCGCTACGGGCTAGATGACCTCTTTTGTAACTGAAAACAAAAAGACATACTTCTTGTTTCAGATAAAGCCTGAGGTAGATTTGCGGGGGAGAGTTGTGACTGGAGGTGAGTGGAAAAAAATCCTTTAAAAAATCCTTTGACATTTTTGGAAATACGCTATGTTTCTTTGACTAAAGTAAACACCAATAAAAAAATCAATAATGACGTAGAAGACTAGAGCCAGAAAAAGGTGCTCCAAAGTTAGCATAGTAAAAGACTGGAAAGAGAAGGGAAAGGAGAGTCTGGATATCCCAAACTAAATCACAAAAAGCAGTCACTCAGATCATGACATATACAGTTATACAAAAAATGTGAAATGACAAGTTGTGATCTTCCCTAGAGTTGTGCTCTCTTTTGTTCTGTAATATCTTGGCAGAGCCAGAAAGCTTTTTTTCTCCTTTATTCTATGCTAAGCTAAGATAACCAAATGATCACACAGTAAGGGATACGAGTCGATCTTTTGATCCAACTGCAGGAAAACATCAAATAAACCATTTTCCCAACACACATCTTTCGTTTCCCTGCGTCTTCACTTAAACACATGATTTAAACGTCCATTGCTATAATGAACTTACTTGCAAAACCATAAAGG